ATTTTACTGATTTGGAAGTAGAATCATCAGTTAAGTATTTTTTTTCCCTTTCATTATTCTGTTGTTCCTTTTTCTGAGAAAAAATGGCTTTAAAAAATATTCACTCTGTAGACCTATCTACTTGTTCTTCTGGAAAGAAGAAGAAAGAAATCTGAATTGATTCAGCATAAGTTTCTTTGCTGTGTATTACTCACAGTGAGAGTGATGTCCCAAAGAATATAGGTCTTCAAAGTCCTTCAAGCTTATACAGACATGGTAAAAAATATGGGCAGTATGAACAAAGTACTTGCAGGAAGAACAATCTCCAGTTATTCTAGAGGTGGTATCTTGTCCAAAAACAGTCCTATGCATGGCTTTGTGGAAAGTCTATTTAGCCTCAAGCTGTTTGTCACTAGTGTTTGTTGCATGATAATACTTTCACGCTGATTTTTTTCCTCCAGGATAGCAGAACATTTGTCACCAGCAGGATTGAGACAGGTTTTTATAAAAAATACAAAACTTACAATTTAATCATCTTTCTTCAGTAAGCACCAAATTCCTACTGCAAAAGAGAAGAAAATTATAAACCAGCAAAATCTTTGTTGTTTTCCAGGAGGGAACAGTATAATAGAGTGGACTGGGTATGGTAATAGAATTTTCCCCAATATATAACTGTAGCATGTCCCCTGTGGTTCTTTAAAACATTCTAAAGAATGTTTCAGTAAACAAAATAAGAGAGTGATAATGAAAACTGAATTAGCAATCATTTGGACAGCCAGTTGTTTTGGGTTAATGTGCACGCCAGTTTTTGGAGATATTCCTTCTGGTTTATTTGAACATACTTAGTTTTCCATCCTGTCAGATGTTTGCAGTCTAGCATACAACAAAAAACAGCAGAATGCTGTGTGTGTTTTTGGGCTGCAGTGTAGCATCTTCACAGCTGACCAACAGCATCCAATAACTGATAATGACTGATTTGTCTTAAACACTTTCACTAAAAGGAAGGAATTTATCTCTTATTAGCCTCTTCATTGACACTTCTGTTTGGCAAAAAGAAAATTAGTGCTTTGAATTAGCAAGGTTGGGGTAGTGAACTGTTGGGAGTAATGCTTTTTTGGTATAAGTCTTCTGATCAGGTTAACTCGGGCTTGTTTTCAAATAGCATAAATAAAAGTTACATGGAAATGTTTCTGAACATGACAATTTTTCTGATCCAAACAGAAATGTGTACCATCTGTCAGAGCAGAGAAAAAACGTTGATGTTGAAGAGGCATTGTGGGTTTTTTGGGTTTTTTAACTGTAAATGTTCAGGACTTTTAAGGGTTCGTTTAGTACTTTCCATGTAGGAAAATACTTTTAACTCAAAGACAGAAAAAGTGATATAGTTCCTTACATGAAGTAAAGGATATAAAAATAAAAATTTGAATGATAAGCCAAAGAGGGACAATATCTCACCAATAATTTCCCTTTCCATTCCACACAGTACTACACATGAAACTACACATGATCTCACAAAGTAGACATACAAAATAATTATTTTAATAAATGCATCTTTTATACATTTAGAGTAATGAATATTAGGGATCTGGTTGGTTGCAAAATAGTTAAATTGGATAGATTCAAGTTCAGTGATATCCTTTATTATCAGTAGCTGAGGAGTTGAGTTTTCAAGTATAATGCAAGTATCTTCCAGAGCTGAAATACATAACTGCCAGTAAAGAAATATGAACTTAAAAGATCTGTGTTGCAACTTGTGCTCTGTGTTGACCTGGTTAAGATGTCCAGCTCCTAGAGTAGCCAACACTGTATGTATATTCATCTTCTCTCTACAAAGATAGAAATTGGATTATTGTTTTTGTACTTAGTGATATTCATTAAATGAACACCTTCTTACTTCATGATGAGATGTGGTTTAGTGATAATATTTGCTCCTGCAAAAGAAACGGGACATTTTTCTATAGCAACAGAGAGAATATTACACAAAATGGTCCACTATGCACCAACACAGGAGAAGATAGCATGAACTTCAATATGAGCAGTATCTCTGCATCTTAATTAATCAGTGCAGCAAAAGAGATGGTGAATGGGAAGTATCGTCAATTCCACGTCTCCAATATCTTTCCAGTATATATTTTTTTAAATTTAAATAAGGCATATACACCCCACAGCATTAAACTTATGCATTAGAGCAGAGATTTAACAATGACAGAGGAGCATAAAAGGTGAACAAAAATACATTGAAAATATATTCATAATTAGGAAGGATAGAATGACTTCAGGAAAAAGCAAAATCCAACACAAAATAACCCAAATAATTAGAGCGTTATTTTCTGTGAGAAAGGGAAACTTGGAACTAATTCTTGTCAGTAACATTTAAATTTATATTAAATTAAGCTTTAATATTTACTGTAAAATTTCAAGTACAACTATAAAATCCACAATGCAACATTAACTTCTGTAAGCTGTTGCATTATTTTCCAGAATAAAAGGCAATGATTCCTTTTAAAACTGTGACTGTAAAGTGAAGCTGTTTGTGGGCTTCTCATTAATAGAGCAATAAAATGTATAAAATTTACTCCCCTGAATTACCAAATACTGGTACCTGTGCCAGCAAAAAGACTTCACACAGGTACTTATCCAGTGATCCATGTTGAACAATTAGCATATACTCATGGGCTATTAGAGAGAAATCACTGCAGAACTGCCTTTCTGGACCATGGCTGTGAAATAGGGTGTGTTGACAAGTGACATTTCAAGGGATAAGTTTGCCCTTCCTGTTAATCCATACCCACCTGTTAGCTCACTCACTATCTACAGCAAATGGAAGACAGAGCTGACAAAGCCACTTAGGAATCTTGTTTCTGACAAGGAGCACATCTTTCACTAGGCTCTTTATTGGCCACTTTGAAATTCTTAGGATGTTTCCCTAGCATTGCTTTGAATCAGGCCAAATTACATAATTTCTGAGCAGTTCCTCACCACCAATAAGGAACTACCACTGATCATGACTGTTCTCTGCTGTAGCTTGTGTAATGTTAATGATATAAACATAGGCCATGTGCTGCTACTTGTTCCAGTGTCAAAGACTATCAAGGGCTTCAGGGCTGTTTGGGATCACTAATCTATCTCAAACCAAAGTGCATATGGCCTGATATCAAGTAAGAATTTAGCACTTTCTACTTGAGTCTGATGCTGCTTTCCTATATACTGTTTTATGTGGCTTCTAGTGAAGTCAGTCAGGACTGACAGGCAAGCAGAGATCTGTCTAACCTGAGAGAGGAATGTCTTTAGGCAAGAAAATAAATCAAGAAGAATCTTCCATGACCCCATTTATTGGGCATCATGGAGGCCCAAAACTGGTGACCTTCCAGACTGTCATACAGACATTGATATTTTACTTCCCAGTGGCTAGCCTTATTACACTCCATTTCTGTAAGGGATTATTTCTTTTCACATGGTTCCCTGGAACACACACTTTCACTCATAAGCTCTTGCAGAGTGAAAATGGTAGCCAGATGAAAGGGGAAGCTCCTGGGGCCCTTGCCACCTGCCATCCTATCCCAAAATTTAGTCTGTTTTTTCAGCTGTAATAATTAACTAGCCAGGGATATTTTAGTGCCTTTTCCTCACAAAGTTGTTTATCTATACCTTATATTACTGAGTAATTCTATACTCAGAAGCAAATAGATTAAAAATTTCTGTGATATGTTATACTGCTGTCCAAAGGATTTGGTTCAGAACAGATTTCACAATATAGTAATGATCATGTGGATTTTAAATCTGAGTATTTTGGAGACTATGGGATGCTGCATCTTACTGTAGACTAAGGATATAAGCATCATATAATCAAAAATATTCTGGCCACTAATCTTATAATTTTAAGGTCTTTTGTATTTCAGAGAAACAAGCAACAGAAATTATTATTTTAGGATCTCAGAGTTAGGGCAAGAGTACCCCTTGCAGGCAGGTGAGCAAGGAGCTTAGAAGGATGTGGGTGTGGGTTTCCAGGGGAGGCTGATTAGGATCACTGGGGCCTCTTGTTCTTATGGCTCTGAATCCAACAGGATTCCCTATTTTAATACAAATATAAACAAATCAGTCCACAGTTACTCTACAATGTAAAAGCTCATATTTAGGTAGTGTGGAATCCTCACTAAAAAATAATAACTCACTACTTTTCACAGAGGCTGATACAAAAACAAGATCCTTATAGAAGCATCATAGGTCCCGTGAGATGATAGAGCAAACAAATTTTAAATTGACTGAGATGTCCTGTGAGAATCAGGTTCATGATATACTGGTCTGTAAGAAACAAACTTAATTACTTCTTTGAAGTTTAAGGAGTTTTAAATTCCTTTTTTTTTTTTCCTGATTTTCTTGCCTGGCCTTCTCCCAGTAAACAATTTTAATATGATATTAGACTGATGATCAAATCAGATTTACTCATAGGCGTTTTATTCCTATTTAATTCCATGGAATTGTTTTTTTAAAAAAGACAGTGTTTTTCCAAGCATGTCCTGGCTTTAGATGCAGATGTAATTTGCCCTGAAGATATGATAAAGAAGTGACATTTTCTGCCATTGTATTTAAGAACCTAATACATAGCTTGACTTTTGTATTCTGTTTTTATTATTTGGACTAATCTTTTGTTAGCTTGCTTACAAATTTTTGCTTCTACAGAGAGGCTAGTAATTTCCTTAATTATTGCACTGGATTTTTCATTGAAAAGTTTATGAAATCATTATAAGGCCAATGAACTCATTGTTCAAAGCAAAAAGGATTAAAGTTCTACTGTACTTCAACAATAAGACCTTTCCTAAACCTCCCTTTAAAACCCACAGTTTTGCCTGTCTTCACCAGGATTTTGCAAATTAAATTCTGATTCTGACCTTGCATAAGACCAACATTTCCTCGATGAAAGTTTCAACAAATCCATCTCAACATTTCAGCTCTGACCTTCTCTCTCAGTGGAAGAAAGAACATTTGAAAAAATGTTAAGCAAATACCATGTGAAAATATGGGTGGTTTTTTAGCTTCAAATCAGGCAGAAATTTGGAGCTCTGACTTTATGGGATGACTTTCTCTAGGACAGATAATGAAACTCAGATAAGGTTCTCCAGCTGCATGAAATACAAAGGTAAGAATTTTAAACCTTTTTTTTTTTTTTTTTTGCTTGAAAACATGCCTGTAAAACAGAAAAAAATCCCGTTTGCTCTCTATCCATGCTCAAAAGCACTGTTGTCAGGATCTTATTACAGCTACTAAACCACATCATTGTAGTCGAGTGCACTCTTCGAACAGATAAGACCAATGGACATGACAGTGTTGGAAAAAATATTTTGCCAAAGGAATTAAAGAGAGAAATAAAAACCTTAAACATTTTAGTTTTAAAAAAGGATGTGATACTCTCAGTAAAATGTGCTTTTATTTCTCATGATTCTAATTTGGGAATTTAAATTTTTTTAGGCTTGAACACCTAACAACTTATTTTACCAACTCAGATGACTACTATCACATTTAAATGCCACTGATTTTCAGCATCCTGAGACTACTATATCTAGAGGATCAGAATCTATTTTACCTGAGATGTCAGTCCTCTTTCACTTAGGCATCAGCTAAGAGATTTTCTTGCTACTGAACAAACAATCCAAGTTCAATGTAATGGCAAAGAAGATGAGAGTGTCTGTGTTTGGGAGGAGAGTTAAAACTATTGCAGCTTTTCATGCCAATAAAAAAATATATCTCTGTGAATTCAGTGTTGCTGGCAAAATCCCAGTCTGAAATAGGATTTCTTACTCACTTAACATATTCTTCTGGTGTGAAGGAATAATTTCTAGCAAAACGTCTTATGGAAAGCTGGTTGCTGATTTTGCTAGGCACACTTACTGAAAATTAGTTCTTCTAATTGCCAAAAATGCTTCTTTTCCAAATGTTTCTACCTTGATTCTAGCCAGCAAGCAAGATATACACTGATGGGTAGAGGAGGTATGAATCAAACCATGAGGTGAGTTACAATCTTTTCTATTGCTTCTGAAATGAATAGATCCTCACAGATATCAAATCAAATTAAAAATATAGTTCTGTATAAATAATCTGTTAATAAGATTTATGTTTCTGTTAATTTCCATCAGAATGGAATGTAATGACAAGGTAAAAACTAATGACATGATACCTGTAGTCTTGCACCTCTGGTTGCACCTCAAATTATTGTGTTGATAATATACAGAATACATGCTTAAAAACTACTTTTTCAAAAGCAGAACGTACCTGAGCTATGTCATGCTTGAATTCCAATGCAGCTGAGAGTTATTGAAAAGTGTAATGCCTCATAACTATATTCTACAGTCTTCTGTTGAAACTATTTTCTTTTCATAAGTGCATGATATTTTTCTCAGATTTTATTGATATCTTTATAACTACTAGAAGGGAAAAGAGTAGCTGAGATTACAGTGCCTCTGAAAACTTAAGTTCTCCTTCCCAGAAAAGCTTTATACTTCTTAAAATCATGTTACACTTAAGTAACAGGGAAAGAAAAGAAAAAACATTCTCTGTTTTTACTCTGCTATTTTTCTTTCAGTGTTGTGGATACCTGGTAACACTTCAGAAGGTGGAAGATCAATGGAAAGATAAACTTTGATTGTGACAGGCTTAGGATCCAGCCCTATGTACATGATTGGTTTTATTACCCAATTAGTCTACTCCTCCTCTTTGAAAAGCATGACATCCCAGACATAGATTTAGTTTAAAGAAATAAAAACCATGATAAAATCTCAAAACTCAGTATGTACAGTATTGTCTGTCATTTCAGTTTTCCCCTCATTTATACTTAACATTAAGGAGATCAATTTTATAATGGATCTCAAGTGTTAGCTAAAATCTATGAGTGTATATATATATATATATATACACACAAATAAATAGTTGTTATATATATATGTATATGGGTGTATGAATACATATATATATTTATACAAAGATTTAATCTGTATTGAACTTCATTTTGTGATGCTTTGCATACCACTGTTAAAAGTTTGCTTTATAATCAGCACTGCCAATACTAAAGTAACTATTTTAAGTAGCACAAAGATGAATGGCATATTTTCCATGGCCAGACTGTGCATTAGTTAGCATTGTGGATAAAATCTGATGGTTTCTGGAATTTTGATTTTGTTTTGAGACATAATTGTCATGTTTCAATAAAATTAAAATTAAAGAAAAAGGATGCTCAAGCTAAAGAGCTCAAGCTAAATTAAGCTTTATTAAGATGTTTAAACCAAAATGTATATACAGAAAAAATAAGAATGCAGTCCTGAAAGTTGTTGTGTGAAACCTCTTCCAGTGACTGCAATCAAATTATATGTCAGAATTACTGCATTAGAACTCTATAGGTGAAATAATCCTCTCTTTGTTTGCTTGCTTGGTTGTTGTTGACACTTTGAATTTGCATAAATTTTTTAATCCAAAACATTTGGGTAAACTACTGAATACCTTTAATTTCCCAATTCTTTCTAAACATCTTTGTTGATCTCCTGACAAACAACATTAATGAAGATTGAATATATGCCTGGCTACCCTTACCAGTCATTTTGATGACTAATATTGCTACAAGGAATTAAAATTTTTCATATAGAAAGGAGTTGGCTTAGAATTTGAAATTTCAGTGACTACCAACCAAGTTAAGAAGAAAATTTCTTCTTTAGTACAACAGTATGGTTATACAGGTATGTGAAATTGTGTAAAAAGAGCTTAAAACAGGGAGTTAGATGACAGTTTTTCCAATTATTGTCTTTCCTTTTCAGAGGTGTCTGCTGGAAAGGGAAGGTGATGATGCTCACAGATGATACTGGCAGTGACCTAAGGAAGGAGAAAAAGCAACAGAAATAAGGTCTTGTTAAAAGACCGCTTGACATAAGAGTCTTTAGTCAGAGAGCACATACAGACTTCTTGTATTTTTAGTAAGTATCAGCCGGCAGAGTTTAGCAAAGTAAAGATTCAGGAAGTAAAGATGAAGGTATGCTGGTTTAGGCTGGGGTAAATTTTCTTCCCAGTGGCTCATGTGGGGCTATGTTTTAGATTTGTGCTGAAGATAATAAGATTGATAATAAAGAGATGGTTTTTTATTACTGAGAAGAGCTTACACAGAGCCAAGGCCTTTCCTGCTTTTCATACTGCCGCACTGGGGATTCACAGGAGGCTGAGAAGAGACAGAGTCTGGACAGGTGACCCAAACTGACCTAAGGGATATTCTATATGATATCATGCTCAGTATATAAAGTGGGGGGAAGAAGGAGGAAGTGGATGGGGGAGGGGAGGAAGGGGCAGTCAGAGTGAAGGCATTTGTCTTCCCCAGTAACCATTACATGGGACAGGGCTCTGCTTTCTTGGGGATGGCTGAACACCTGCCTGCCCATGGGAAGCAGTGAATTAACTCCTTGTTTTGATTTGCTTGTGTGCATGGCTTTCATTCTCCCTATTAAACTGTTTTTATCTCAACCCACAAGTTTTTTACCTTTTACCCTTATGATTCAATTCTCTCCTTGATGCTGCTGGTTGTGTGAGTAGCTGCATGCTACTTGGCTCCTGTCTGGGGTTAAATCATAAAAGAAAGTAAAAAAGATTGTGGAACACATTGATATTTAAAGATATAAAGGATAAAAGGGTGCAGAATAATAACTAGAGCACAGACTTTTGGACTTTGATATTTACCATGCATGCATGGTAGAGGAAGAGACAGTTACATGTCTTAACAGTTCAACAGCAAATTTGCTGGACTGCAGTGGTAGAACAAGAATAAAAAAAAAAACCAACCAAAAAACCCCCACAAAAAAACCAAACCAAACCAAACCAAACCAAAACAAAAAAAAACAAGAAAAAACACGCCAAAAAACAATGAAAGGAAAAGAACACACACACAGAGCAAGCCCATTAGAGGGAAGAGAAAACAAGAAGGAAAGACATAGATCAAATGGTAGAATCATTTGCAGAAATAATGAAAGAGGGATGAGAGAAAATTGAGCTCCACACAGACAGAAAACAGCAGATATTTGTGACCACAAAAAAAAGCAAATCAGAAGGCATGTTGCCAAAGTATATTCAGGAAATAGAAAGGTTTTGCTATCAGTGAGATGGTATCTGAGAATAGTTCAGTCAAAACAAAGTGTCTCACAGACAATTTTTCTTCTTAAAAGCTTTGGTTCAACTGCTAAATATGTAGTTTACATCAGTATTAATGTCTCTGGCAGATGCCTGTTGAAATAGGTGAAAAGAATGAAGTTCATGTATTCGAATGGAGAAATACAGTAGAATGGAGTATGCATAGAGGCTTACACCATAGATTTTTAGCAATTTGTTGCAGTGAATGCCAGTGAAATCAATTCTACAAACATACAAAAAACTTGTAGAATTTTAGATGGCCATGCACTGACTTTATGGATCTCTGGGAAAAATGCTAAAGTCACCAAGGATTAATAGTAATTCATGCAGAAAAGAACTAGTCTCACGTGGAGGACTTTATGATAGGAATATTGTGTGGCATCCACAGAAAAAGAGCTTCTCAAAAGACAGAGACTAATATCATAGCACATAGCTTTGGGATTATGTGGATTATGTGTTGTTCACAGATGAGAAGAATTCTAAACTAAGAAATTATATAAAATTGTATGAAGTCATGTAGAATCTGATGCTGATTCCCCAGGTACTTTTGCTTTCCTCCTACTTCTCATAACCTTTAAGTTTTGCCTCCTGCTGGAGGTAAACAGGATAAGAGTAATCAGCTGCTAGTAAAATCCAGATTGTCAAACAGCCATATTCCTAATATAGAACTTTATACTAAAGAAAGTAACAGATTTATTCAAGTTGCCACATAAATTATATGAGTTGATGATGTATTTTCTTCTTTTAAATGTTCACAACAAAAGGGATCATAACAAATGTTTGCAAGATGAATCATCTCCACCTCATCTTTTATTTTAAGATTTAACAATCTTGTACAGTTGAATCCATCCAACCAACAAACAAACAAATCCTCTAACAAAATCTGTTCCTTTCAAAGTGTGTTCTCAAGTTTTCTATTATCACTTGGACACTGAAATAAAACCCCCAATGGTTTTAGTGCTAGTCATTCCCCCACACACACATAGAAAAACCCACAACACAACTCTTTTGTGGACAGTATGGAATATTGAAATATTTCTGTATTCATAATCCTACAATGAATGCTACAATGATTTGTCTAAATTCTATTTTTCTTTAGACAATATTGAAGACTTCTATGAATGTGAACAGAAAGATACAGGCAGCAGTTTGCAAGGCTTAAGCTTAATGCACAAAATTTTGCTTCAATGAGCCTTCTAAAATTGACAAAATATTTAACATCATATTTCTTAGGGCAGTTTACAAAGAGAAAGGTATCAAAAAGAGCATACTTCTGAAGAAGGGGAGAAGTAATCTGATGAGCTTCCTTAGAAAGAAAAGAAAGTCCTTCAAGGATGACTGAACCAGCCTAACAGATATTTTCTAAGCTCTTTCTGAAAGAGGCTTTGTTTCTGTGTTGAGTCTAAAGAAAACACAGTGAGAGAAACAAACCAAGAAAACCAGCCTCTGTGACTAATCTCCTTTAAGTTAAAACATATTGATTCAAACTTTGTGGTGCAGTGCTTGTTCACTGGTCAAAGCCTGATATGAGTACAAGAGCAATTCAGCTACAGAATACACATGACTTTGATTAACCATCAAGCTAACAGAGAGAACAATCCCAACCCCTCTAGAGAAGAGGAAAAGAAAACAATTTCTAGAACCTTTCAAATCAGGCAGCTAGTCTCTTCTATCCTCTAGCTAATAAGCTACTCTCTGCATGAGTCCTCTTTTTGACTGGGAGCCTTTTAAATTTGCCAGCTGGAAAACAGTCTTCCATGTGGCTTCTCATCTCTGGCACCTATTTGTCTTGACAAACAGGGCCAGCTGCAGTTCTGGGTCTTTAAAGAACTATGTGGCCCCATATAGTTGCCCCATGTATATCACTGCATTAATGAAGATGTCTTAAGACCCAAGCAGAGGATTCACCTAGTGGAGAAAATACACTTTACTTGCATAGGATCTCCTTCATGCAGAGTATGACAAGGAGATTTACCTTAAACTTTCAAACCTGTAGATATTCGGCTCATTTGAAAAGAGTTACAACACACCATCTGTTCTCAGTCAAAGCAAAACCTAAACAGAATAAAAATAACTTTAAAATCATCTTTCTGCTTCTTCTGAATCTCTTGAGGTTGAGCACAGAATTAGACCTCCATGTTATTTATACAGCATTCTGAGGTATGCTGGATGCTTTGTAGATGAAATGCAATGACATTTTCTCAGACCTTAGAAGATAGTTTAATTTTAAACTAGCTGCAAGTTATAAAAACTGGATAAGGGGAGGAGTGAAGGAGGAAAAATATTACACTGATATTAAAAAAAATTTAAAAGACCCATGCTTTGTAATTCCCCTGTAATAACTCTGTTCACAATTTTTTGTTGTATTTTATTTTTAACATACTTTCTTCTAGGCTGAAAGTTAAAAAAATTCCCTCTATGTTTTCTCCATCCATGATTTTGTGGCATCCTGAATTGGCATTCCTCTCCCTTTTATTGAATTACCCATAACAGCAGCCTATCAGTCCCTACTTATATCGCTTTACAAAGCAGACCACTCAAAAACCAATTTGTGGTGTGCATATAGAGATAAAAAAGGGGAGAAACATGCTGTATAGGGAAACATACTCACTCTTTATCTTAGGTTGAGTTCCTTAGTAAATGGCAAGACTAGGTTAATAAGAAACCCATACTGGAAACACACACAAAGCCATAAAGATTCAGATTGTCCTTTTTTAATTAGTATTTTCTGTGATTTACTGTACTCATAAGAAATGTTACAATGGGCATCATCACCCTACCAGAGCAAAAGCTGGACAAATGGGACTAGATATACACTTTTTTTCTGAATCTGTTGCAAAAACTTAGGAAATAAAGAAAAAAAAAAGTTTGAGTGTAATCCATTACACTCAGAATTCAACAAACTTAGTTGCCAGAGTAAAGCAGTCAGTCTAGGTCACTGGGCAACTCCTTTTTTTTTATAGTTAAGAAGGTGCGATGCAGAGGATCAGCTCACTAGCTTTCTCTCTTTGGCAGAGGCTTGTCTTCTTTGCTGCATCTTGGACTACATATCTGCTTATTTGCTTTCTTCAGAGATCTATGGTTTTCATTTGTTCATACCTATTGGGTATAAGCCTTACATTTTATGGGACAGAGACATGTTAGTAACTGGTATAAATATTGTTTCTAATGTACATTGGACTTACATATGTACATACATATATGTAGTATATTTGCATAAAGTTATGAATAATAATATGGATTCATTGAGGTAATTGAAACAATAGAAGTGCCTACTTTCTACTGAGTATTTTTTCAACTGTTAAAATGTTATAACACTGTACAACAAGCAATACTTCTATGTGTAACATGCATTCAACATCTCAACATATGCACAATTAGCATCAACCTACTTGCTAATGTGCTCACATTAGAGCTCACAAGATTTAACATCACATTTTTGTTGATCTTTATAATATATCAGCTGCTCCTATTGAGCAGCTCTTTTCCTCTTTGACTCTTGGCTGGTAATAGGGATTCGATCCATCAGACATTTCAAAATGTGCAACAACTCAACAAAACAGATTGGTTATGCTGGATTGGCTGCCAATAAGAAGGACATGACCACCATGAAGCTCTAGTAGATGTTTTATGCTGATAGATATATACCTCAGTGCCTACTGTTCACTCTGACATAGTGACCATCACTGTCAGCTTGATCAAATTCCCATCAGGGAAGAAAGTGTAGGAATGTTGCACAGTTGCATTAATGTGTGTGAAAGAGTGTGTGAGTCATGAGCCAGTGTCTTGTGTCCTACGTTAT